AGCCGTCATTGTTGTTTGGCGGGCCCGGGCTGGGGATTCGAACCCGCCACCTTAGGTGTACGTGGCTGGCGCCTTAGCCGGTTGAGCCACAGGCGCCGAGCCTTCCCTCTTACTTAATAAGGTTCAAATCAATTTGCAGTCATTGGATCTGGCTGTGACTGGATGTTGGGGCTGGGGGGCGGGGGGCGCTTCCCGGCGGGTGGAGCCCCATAGGGAGCTCGGCCTGTTCCTTGGGGCAGGCACCTGTAGGAGGTCGCATCTTTCTCTAGGGTCGCTTCAATGGTTCCTGGGAATGGGGCGACAGCCACCCAAAGCCTCTTTATCTGTAATGGCATTGAGAATTCTGTATTAGTTTCCTGTGGCTGCTGTACCACAGTACCCCAAACTGTGTGGCTGAAAAAACAAAAATGGGTTCTTTACAGTGCTGGAGACTATAAAGCGTTAGCAGGGACATGCTCTCTCCCCCTACAAAAGCTCAAGGGGAGGGGCCTTCCTGTCTCTCCCAGCTTCTGCTGGTTCTTTGGCTTGTGGCTTATGGATTTACTTTATGTGCATTTCTCTTATCTTCTGTTATTTATGTTTGTTTATTTGTTTTTAGATACAGGGTCTCTGTCACCCAGGCTGGAGCACAGTAGCTTAATCATAGCTCACTACATCCTTGAACTCTTGGGCTTAAGCTGTGCTCTTGCCTCAGCCTCCTGAGTAGTTGGGACTACAGGTGTCTGCCACCCACATGCAGCTGAATTCCTTTATTTTTTGTAGAGTTGGGTCTTTTGGTTGCCTAGGCTAGATTATCTATCTCCTTTTCCTTTTCCTACAAGGACTCTCAGTGGATTAGGGCCCACCATCATGACTTCATTTTAACGTGATTGTATCTTCAAAGACCATATTTCCATATTCTTTACAAATGTTGCATACACAGGCACCAGGGAGGACTTGAACATAACTTTTGGAAGCCACAGCCAGTGAGATGTATAGAAAGTCAGGGGTCATAAGGCAGGGAATCCTGGGTAAAACCCCAGAGGTCAAATTCTAACTTGGTAACTTTGGGCAGGTAGCCGTGTCTCCTGTTTCCCCACTTGTAAAATGATGTTTGTAGTATCCACTTCACAGGGGTTCAGGGAGGGTCAGAACAACACTAGGTGAAAGGTCAGCTTGATGCAGGTACACTTGTCTTGTCATCCACCACCTGTGTGTACAGAGGCCAGGCAGAAGGGAAGGTCACTAATTGCCCAAAGGCTTGGGGAGGCTCAGAGCTGGAGCCCAGCGCTTCCCTTCAATCCCTGCTCAGTGGCTCAGTCTGCATTGTGCCTCCCTGGGTGACATCTGGTCCCTCAGGGGCCTTGTGCTCAGGGTGAAAACCCTTCTCAAGTGAACCCCCTGCATCTGGGAGCAGCCCCTGTGTCTGTATACTTAGCCCAAGGCTGAGGAGACAGCTTGTGGCTGGACACTACCTGGAAGAAACAGACCTGACCTGGGACAGTAGAGTCCACCCGTTCCCATCTCCTGTTGTCCTGACCCCCCAGCCTGCCCCCTGGGACACTCAAGGGTTTGGACAAAGGCTGTAAATAATGCCAAAGTTCTCTCTACTTTCATTAGCTCTCTCCTGTCATTCGGGTCCCACTGGGCTGTCACCTCCCTTGCTTTCCTTCCATCAGGGCACCTCCTGCTCTGCCCCCATCAGAAGGGGTCCCTAGAGGAAGAGGTGCTCTCTAGCTAATGTCCCACAATGTGCAGGAGTGACCAGCAGCACAGCACATTCCAGGTGACACAAATAGCTTAGCATGGCTGGGGATTAGGGTTAGGAGTGGTGATGACTGCGGCGGGCTGCAACCGCCACAGGGCCTCCTTGGCAGGTGGGCACTCACACCCTCCCAAGCACCCTCCACCCAGACCTGGCACTTCCTCAGATCCTGAAGTAGATGGGTCTGGAATTCTCCAGCAGAAATGGCGGTAAAAACCCCATGTAGTCGGTCTCCTGTGGAGTAGCCCATTGAGACCTGCAAAATGTCTGATTATGAAAGTACATGCTGCTGTCCCTCACTCACCTGCACTGTGGCTGTGTTTTCTGTTCTCTGTCTTCGCTGGATATATTTTATTTTTGAGACAGAATCTCACTTGTCACCCTTGGTAGAGTGCCCTGGTGCCACAGCTCACAGCAACCTCAAACTCTTGGGCTCAAACAATTCTCTTGTCTCAGCCTCTGTAGCTGAGATTACAGGTGTCCTCCATGACACCCAACAATTTTTTAGAGATGGTGTTTTGGTCTGTCTCAGGCTGGTCTCGAACTTGTGAGCTCAGCAATCTACCTGCCTTAGCCTCCCAGAGTGCTAGGATTACAGGCATGAACCACTGTGCCTGGCCATGGATATATTTTAGTAAAGCACTAAATTGTATTAGATGTGTTTTTCTGTGACAGAGAGCAAAATGCCTCTACTTCCTGGGGGCTGGAAACAACAGAAACCCACTCTCCCAAGTCCTGGGGAGTCAGTGCAGTGGTGCCACATTCCCTGAGGCTTTCCAGAATTCTTTCTGCTCTCTTCCAGCCTCTGGGGTCTCTAAGTGTTCTGGGTGTGTGGCCACCTGGCCTCCTTCCCTATATGACAGGATCTCTGTATCTTTTCTTCCTGTGAAACACCAGTCTTATTGGATGTAGGGACCATCTCACTCTAGGATAACCTCATGTTCAGCTAACTACAACTGCAAGGACCCTATATTCAAACAGGGTCACATTCACGAGTCCCAGGTGGACATGCTTTTGAGGGGACACTATTCAATTGAGTATATCCTCTGTCCCAGAATGTGCCAACTGCCTGTCCTCTTGAGATGTGGCTCTGTGAGGCAGCCTCCCTGGGCACTTTACACCCAGTGCTATGAGCTGTGCTGGGGCCAAGGGTTGGGAGCAGGCCTCCCACTGCCCACCTCCCACCAGGGCCCCTCACCGGCCCTTACCCTGGTAGGCCCTGATGCAGTTCCCAGGGACCTGGAGAGAGACACCACCCTAATGGCACCCCTCTGGCTGCTCAGGGACAGTGTACACCCATCTTGACTCAGTTTTATAAGCTGGTTCTCAGTATTTTGGGCCCTTCTATCTGAAGGAGCCGCCCTGGACCAAGACCCCAAGGACCCCAAGGGTGCTTTCTGTTTCTCACCCAACAGGAAGAAAACTGCATCTTGCTGAGTTTTACCTCCTCCCTGAAGACACCTGCTCACCTCTGTCCCTGTCACCCCAGACAAAGGCCAAGGCTTTTGTGGTGCCAATGCCCATATCTGGTCTCTTAGTCATGCCACCGGCAGAATTCTTTCTGGCTAATCACTACCCTGACAGAGGCCAGAGTTCTCTGCAGCCAGGAGGGTCCCATCCTCCAGGAACTCAGCACCATCATCACACAGTCTGGCTGCCCAGGGTCCATCTTCTGCCCCTCATTGCACCAGTGAGCTCTGCCCAGCTGCCCTGCTGGCCACCAGGGAATTGGAACAGGGGTGGGCACTGGTTTAAAAGTCCCCAGATAATGCTGAAGTGCAACAGGGCTAAGAACAGCTGGGCTTAGAACTCTGGGCAGCCCCAGGCCTTTTGGCATTCTGCCAGTTTCGTCCCCAGGGGTCCTGCTGGCCTCTGGTCTGTACACATTTGTCAGCAGTTTTTCTGTCTCCTCTGCCTCCCACCACTTGGAGCTCAGGAGTCCCCTCCAGAGGCTGCCTCCCCTCCAAAACAGCTCCAGACAGATATAGTGTCTTTGTCCTTCTCATGACCAGCACCCATGAAAGGGTTGGCACTTGACGGCTGTACCATTAGCTGTACGATACTTACAACGGCACACCTTGTCCCCCTTCTACAGAGGAAACAGAGGACCCCCCCCAAGGCCCTGGCCAAGCCACTGCTGCCCACTGACTGTAAGATGCTGCTCCCCAAATGACCCCCAGCCAGAATGCTGGGCCTTAGAGATGCCATCTTCCTCAATAAGGGGGGCTCCGATGGGGGTGTAGCAGGTCTCCCAGCACATGGGTTTCAGTGAACATCCGCCGCTCCATGCAGAAAAGGCAGGCACAACTGGGAGTGGGTTCTCCAGTGTCTCCCTCAGGTGCCCCACACTCTCACAGGGTGCTCCCTGAGAGGCAGGGGCATGGGACCTTTCCATTTCTTTTTCATACTAGTAATTTCCTATATTATGTT